AATCATCATCATTATACAAGTGGGTATATCTTTAGAGTTCTTCTAGATATCCTTAACAACATTATTCATCAATTCATATTCTTAGTTCAAGAATCATTTAATAATCCATAATATTCATCAAATGAACAATCTAATAACAATCAGCGGCCTAACATCGAGTGTTAACACCCTAGCTTACCGTCATGCATTACATAAGATCCCTTTTAGTTGTTAAAACACCATCTTTATTCCAAGAAATCATCCTTTTAATAATCATAATGGTTTGGTATCAAAATATAGGATTCCATAACTCAAAAATCGTGTTTTCTAAATAAAAATTGATTAACATATGATAGGAAATTCAATTATTAGCTATTAGCTTCATTTTCTTCAATAGTGTAGGGAGACAGTCTACTGTCACTTCTAATAATCTACTGTCTGATGTTCAGAATGGGCTGATAATCGATTATCACACTCTGATAATCGATTAAAAACTTCAGAGAGGGCTGATAGTCGATTATCACATTCTGATAATCGACTGTTGCTCAGCTTTGTTACAAAAATCTGCAGAACGATGAATAATCGATTTTCAAGTTGATAATCGATTATCCATCGTCTTCTACCTCGAGCCAATTTGCGAAAATGTCACTTTTACTCACCAAATTTCAATTAAAGTATATAAAAATGTTCTCCAAGATTCATGGATCATTTTAGCATCATTAATTCATAATTTTAACATCAATTTCATGGTTTATGATTCTTAGTTCTTCAAGCATGTCAAACACAAAACTCAACCAAATGACCATCTATGAACGTAAGATCGATCTATATGAACATTCTAGTCATTAGATATATCTACGGGCTTACCTCGAAGCTTAACGAAGGTTTTGGATATTTTCCGGCAAAACTTCCGGCGATGATTACTCTCAACTCCGGCGACCTCACACCAAATTGGCAGCACCACAATATTCCTTACACTCTCAAGAACACAATGGAAGAAGAAGTAGAGAGAATGGTGTAGAAATGAGAAGGGTTGCTTTTCCTTATATAGGGAAGAAGAGAAGTAGATTACAAAGGTTGCTGAGTCAATTGTGATTCACAATCGGCGTAGTGGAGAAGGAGGCGCCGTTCGCACAGTGTCCCTGATTGGGACCAATTTTGGTTCCAGTCGAGGTACACTTTTTGGTCCAACTTTCTCCGAATTGAATTCCGTTTGCACCGTTGCGATCGGGCAGTTAAACTCTATCTAACGATATAATTTTTATATTTATTTGTAATACTTTTTCCGACATCATATTTTTGGGTGGTTGACTT